AAGGTTAGCATAAGCGCCTCGAGCTTTTGCTATACGATTCGTGATAACATCTTCAATCCCACGGAGCTGCATCACTAGTTGACAACGATGTATAGGACGTTCCTGATGAAAGTCATCTGGTTAAATGTGCCAGTAAAGCATGTGAAATTATAACCGAAAGCGGTTAAAACTTTAAGTTAACCGCTCATTTTCCTGCGAACAACACTGGAACTAAGTTTTGACAGTGGGCTCGCATAACGTAATATGTGTAATGACGACAGTACCCAGGGCTTCCGTATCCGGGCGTACATTGGGTTATCAAAGACCCAGGGGTCGAAAGCCGAAAAAGATACGTGCTAAGTGGCTGGAGAGTAGGCTGGAGAGAGTATTAGGAGTTACAGGTGGATGCAGAGTGCGCCTGCTTTATATCGCGTGTTTAGCAGCAAGGTGTAGTCACAGCTGACGATGGACGACGGAGCCTCAAGGGTGTGGATCGATGACGATAAAATGCACGAGATTTGATTGGAACATATGTCCGGCTAAGACCGCATCATTTAGCCACGTAGAATTAAATAGGAGCAAAATAGCGACTTCCACCTGGAAATACTAAATGACATACGAACGCACAAACCGGTTTGTATCATGCTGAGCCACTCATCATTGCGCAGACGCTACAACCTGAAGAGTAAATGTGATTCCCCGAAGCGAGTACATATTGTCTGCAGCTTCAAAGCATCTCTTTACCGCAACCCTGTGGTGTGTTCGAATACAGTCCACAACTGACAAATACCCATCCAGAAATATTTCCCTGGAGAGAGTGATAAACGCAAGTTATGCTTGCGCTACATACTTTGCGTTTCCGCATGCAGCTTCCAGCCGCCTGCGTTGGGATAACTGGTTGACCAATCCGGCAAACGGCCACACACACTACTCATGTCCCTCAAATACAAATAATTCTATTTTCTTAGTTATTATGCCCTTATCAAAGTCCTTATCCACTGGCTGTTCAAACGCAATCAACTACAGGCGGTAGAACATAATTGCTTGCCACACATCTGTGTTCGAGTGGCATATATTTCTCAAGCTCTCACGTGATGGTTCTACAACGCGGCAACGAAAATGGGTATGCGACGCGACTACACGCACTAACTTACCGGAAATTTACGATGGTACCCTGAATAGAGAACTGGCTATTTCTAGCAGAGTATGAAGTGCATTATAAAGTAAGGACAACATTCTTTTAGAGCAGGTAGTTTGCATCAAACAGATATTTTACAGGTCGGCCAAATAAACAAGGCGTCCATAATTCTTACTGACATGCTGAACCATTTGTTCGCAGTGCTGCTGCGTCACTAGGGCCCGTGGTTCAAACATCGCGTGCTCCAAACAGCGAAGCAGCCACTGGCTTTTATTCCGAACGCCTTTAGGATCCTCCAGGAGCATCTTGGAGTACCGTCCCCTCATTGCCTGTATTATCTTAGCATTTATTATACTCCAGATGCCCTCTATATGATTGACAGCTGGAGAGTATGGCGCAAGGCGTAGAAGTCTCCCAGACCAGTAGTGTTCCTCCAGGAAAACCTGCTCCAGGTGCATGCGACAGGGCGCGTTGTCACAAATCAAGAGACGCAATTGCACAAACACTTATCCGTTGGGATCAAGCATCTGTCGCAGTCACTGAGCGCAACTTTGCTTGTTGTAATTTCCACTCAGAACCGAACACGTTATCAAGCTGTTGTTTGTCATGGCGTAAACAAGATGAACATTCGGTCCCAGGCGGTTCGCCACTGTACATTTAGCTCGACTATCACGTCCTGAGCGGCCAGGAGTGTGGAAGCAAATTAATTTGAAGTTGGTATCACCAAGTCCCACCGGTTGCCTTCCTTCCACCTTGTCATCCATGAACGGCAAAACGAATGACCTGCGTCGATTTTGTTCTCTTGCGTGTTCATGGACTTCGGAATGGTGTGCAGTTTCTTCATTGTTATCAACCTGCCATCCAAGTATGGTGAGATGGTGCTGGTATATACTGTAAGTTCGAACTCCGCCTTCAACAGCAAACGAAGGAGTTAAAATGTAACGGTAGGCTACGCAGAAATCAACCATACCAGAGAGTTGACGCGGTTTTCTCCCAGTGTTCTGCGACGGACTCCCCTACTGCCCCACAGGTTCCGTTGATTCGTACGCCCGTATCCAGTTGCGAAAAGTAGGCACCTTCAAATTCAGTGTGAAAGCGACCTGCTTCCAATCGTCTCCGTCATCGTACGCAAACGGTATTATGTACTTAACCTTTCAAGTGTGCCGAGCATGAAAACGACCATGGATTCTAGGGAGCATAAACGTACAACATCACACGGCGAACCTGTTTGTCCGGGCACATTTCAGCAACTCATTCGCCACCTGTTCATCGTATTCAGAGATTGGTAAAGGGATCGCATACGTTTCACCACCATGCGAGGTGGCATCCTCACTGACGTATTAGGCTTTGTATATTCCTGCTTATTGGATCGTCAGTCCGTCATCCACGGGCAAATGACTTTTGAAGGTAGCAATTTTGATTTGCGCCATGTGATCTCTGCCCATTTGCTTTTGCGGCTGAATCATGTCTTACGAATCGCCGGAGATCTTTCTTTCTGAGTTGATGGTACACGGGGTCGATGTCGATGCGTATGTTGATCGAATTATCAGAGGAGTACCATGCTGCTAGGAATTCTCTTCCTTTCTGTGTTTTTGTTTGAGCTAAAATCATCGTTTTGTTCCAATTGAAGCTTTGTCCCTCCTTATCCACATGCGCTGAGACAAGAGACGATGCATAATGTATTTTGCAAGCCCTCTGATGTTATTATATTCTTGTGGACAGATTCCTTCCTGTCTGCCCCACATAGTTCATTTCCTAATTATTGCAATTCATTGTATACACGACGTTTTGTTCGTTCTTGTGCATTCCTAATGTCCTTTAGGTTTGACAGTGTTCTACTCAAAGTAGCGGTTGGCTTATGAGCGACCACGATGCTGTGTTGTTTGAGCAATCTGGCAGTCATTTCAGCGGTCGTTTAGAAAGGTTCCTGATCCAGCGATCGTTGTCATTTCCGTATTGGCAGATGGTCCATTTTGCGAAGAAACGTTGTTCCTTGCAATGTTAACTACAGACCGCCGCTAAACCATCTCAGGGCTTGGGACGTTGCATCTCAGTTCGGAAAAGTTATGGTACGAATAATGATCCCGGACCATCATAACCGCATCAAAAAATATGAAAGATGTCTGGATGTAGAGCGAACCACTTGTTTGCAAACCGTGGGACAACAACTGACAGAACAATTACAGTTGGCAATCGAACGCACAGCATAAAACGCCGGAATGAAGAAGCACGCTGTGCTTCAGGGAAATTGATCATCTGCCAATACTGTCACTTTGCCGCGATTTACATATTACTAATTGGCAGTATTCCAGAAAATGTCAAACACAGTACGTACACAGAGCAATCTGAATTACAGAAGCAAACTCGGGTTTCAGATTTAGCTGGTGACCGATCTGACCTTGACTATGCTACATCCCGCGTGTTCGTCCAAGTTTATTGGACGTTAGTAGTGTACCCCTTGGTCACGCACTGCAACACAACTGGCAGTTGGTGATGTTTATTCTCAACGCATTTGACGGAAGACTCCAACGAGAAGAGATGGCATTGTACTAAGTTGGTGAGAATGCCATTTTGCAATGGTAGCACCACGATCTAAATCGGTAAGATTGCTTTGAATATGGGACATGCCAGTTTCTGTTCCCTTCGCTTCAAGAGAGAAGACGTCTTTAATATAATCTGCAAATATGAATGGTCTAACTTAAGGGAGGTAATCAAATATGTCGATAACGTAGATTTGACATAGTAGTGGGCCCAGAACACTACCTTGGAATCAGTCAACATTTACGGGGATATATTGTGATTCAGCTCAGTGCAGCAGTAACATTTTGTACACATTTTCATATAGGTTTAAAGCATGAGAGCAGTAGATGCAAAATATCGTAGAACTGAAGTTTAGTCAATAGACCAGTATGCGGGACTTGACCAATTGCCTTCTTCATGTCAAGTGAAACAATGACAAAAATATGGCTTAAATCACTTACTTTTGTTAGTAAATCATGCAATTGGAGTTGACACGTCTGCCAGTGCTTATCCGGTAAAAAGCCAGTTAGGCCTCGTTAATTAAGCCGCACGACAGCAAAAATGCAATAATTTGTTGTTTTGCTGTAATCTTTATCCAACTAGACGTGATGGGCTCGTGGCTTATTCGACAGTGTATATGTATATATATAATAAATAAATTTCCACATATTTTACATATATGTCTACTTTTGTATGAATGGTCCACGACCAGCGTTCATGCTTTGAACAACTAGCTGCACGGTTAGTTGACTCTGCATAAAATCCCTGTTGTATTAGTATCGGATGATTGACCGTAGTTTACTGCCGTGTGCTTCCATGCTGCAAATGAGAAGGAAGAAAGAAAACCTTATCTACTCGTCCTTAGAACAATAGGTATATATAAATGAGCTGCGCACGTTCAGTAGTAATGACAAAGTTACAAGCAAAATACTGTATAACATTAACAACGTTCTTAGCTGCCTTATGGTGTAAAGAAACTACTTGCTTGGAAAAATCGTAATACTTTTATCTTTCACGGCTGCATCTTACGTTTTGGTGTTGCAGGATGTGGTTCAGGTAACTTGCCTAAATTTGGTTGTGGAAGATATCCCGTGTCTATATATGGCAAATAAGTAGCACGGATGCACGTAAGTTAAAACTAAAGCAGGTTTTAACAATGTTGCTGACACGTTGAAAATCACATGAGCTTTTAGAAACCCCCATCATTCCGCTAAACCATAACATAGGGGCCAATTGCAGGCAAAAGAATGACTTCGTCTTTTGACCTTAGTTGATGACCTTCAACTTGAAAATATGCATACCTACTGAGTCCTTATAAATGATTAGGTGGTTTGTAGCATTTTCTGGTACTTCAGGGACGAAGGCGGCATTTTATATTAGGCTGCACTTCAATCAGTTTATTAGAGCTAGCCAATGAAATTTGATGAACATGGATTTGCCCAGAATGGGCCACTAATTGCCGTCGGCGTGGGTTTCGGCAGGACAGGTACCAACAGCCTTCAAGTGGCACTGCAAACGTTATACAACCAACCATGCTATCATGGATTTGAGTTGATAACCAAACGACGATCGGATTGCAAGTTATGGGCAAAACTGGTGAAGCAACTGTTTGAACAACCTGAGGTGCAAATGGACCCGGAGTGGTTTTATCACCTGTACCGTGGGTATCGTTGTGCAACTGATGTCCCTTCGTTTCTCTTCTACAAGCAACTCTTAAACATTTATCCGGAAGCAAAGGTTGGTTATGTGGTTTTATGCCAAACTACTGGAATCTACCACCACTTTGCGTTTATTACCAATTCATATATAGCTCTCTCAGTGCTTCAACAGTAACCAAGTGCTTGTTTATCGCAAATCCGTTTGATTTTCAAACGCGTGCAGCAACCCACATACTCAATTAATCAGCGCACTTTAGTATACATAGATTACGGTTTTCAAGAGCTAGCACCTGACTACCATAGCTCTGTTAACATACACTCGTGTGTGAAACTGGGATATTTAATCTTAATTCATTTCGCTTTTACCAATAGATCTTACTAAAACTTCTGTGCCGAACAAACATCCCATGTTCCCACAATCACCTGATGAGTCCTTTGGCACTACATTTTCGATGGTCTCGCGTTTATGCTGTTGTTTGCATATAAGTATATGAGAAATATCAGCGTATATTCTCGTGGTTACACGAGGCAGTAGAAATTAGGCGTGCTCAGTTTGGTACAATCAAATATACGAAAATTGCTGCTTGACCAAATATTAATCTTTACAAAGAAAGTGTGTATATTCATGTGATAAAGGAGATGGGATGTAGCTGTGACTTATAATTCCATGTGGTAATGTACCCCTTCATTTTGCGGGTTTTTGGATAGGTTTTTTATGCTTGCCAAAATGCGTTTTTGAGGTTATTCCTTTCCGTTTCATATAACCTCACCACAGACTGACTGGAATGGTTTTCTCGAAGGAACTAATCTTATCTCCATGGTTATATTAGACGTTAGGATATGTTGTTCCACAGCCCTGTGCGCGTGTCTCCTGGTCTTAGTAGTAAACAATATCAAACTATATCAGCAAATAGAAACTTTCGGTCATTAACAACTTGGAAATATCGGCTTTTTTATACTAAACAGGTGAACTAGCTTCGTTATAAGGCCACTGATTAACCAAGACGGGCATTTCTGGAATAGCCATCACAACACTGGCAATTTCATTTTTCAGCCAGTCTCAGTCGTCCCTATCAGGTCTAAATACATCGACGCTCTAGAAGATTAGTGCCTGAATAATCTTCTGAATTGTCCCTGAGCATTTATGTTTATGCCGAATAGCGTTTTATACGTTGGGGCGCAATCTTTAGGTGAAAGCTTTTACAGACCTCATGGAGGTGATCAGCTGATATTGAACCATGAGCCAATCATATTAGCAGAATAATGCTCAGAGACGAAACCACCCATTCACTAAGCAATTTTCAAATTGCATTTATTTCAATAGCTGTTTGAACCGCAAAATGGACAGCTTTCGAATTAAGAGATTATGGGGTTACTCTGAAATACAAGTGAATTCACGCTCATCTTTTTCCCCTGTCGGTTAACTGTGGCTTGGTTCGGATTGTCTCTAGGCCTACATCAGGGGAAGATACTTGCGTCCCTTTCACCAAGTTTCAAGCATGTTCTCAGACATGCATTTAGGCTGAAACACAAATTCCACAACAGTAAGGCCGTATATTTTGTAGAGTACTCCTCACCGGGGGAACAGCGAACAAATTTAGCGCTAGACACCCTTATCGGGGCTTTGCTACACTACGACAATTACTACACGCTACTCAACAAGTCATTTTTGGTGCTACCTCGATTGCTGACGAAACGTGCGCAACATTAATATTCCTAGCTCACTAAAGAGTTCAACTGCTACTAGTGCCAGTATTTCCCGCCACTCCGTGAGCTCGAGATTCGAAATTGACTACACCTACGGGAAACCGTGAATACAGATCGTTCTTATTCTTCTAATGATAGAAGCAGCTGGGTTCTGTTGTACTTGCTGACACTATACACCATGAATGTAGAGGAGATTCGAAATATAAGATGATTCATTCCGAGGACAGGTGCATGACAAAGAATCACATCAACTTCATTTGCTGATTTCAGCGTTAGTCTTAAATTTCGTAATTTTTCATACGGTATACCTTTCTGAGCTGTACCGTACTTAGGGTGCTATTATTAAGCGTACATAATCCGACCGTTTAAAGGTATTCAACCTTTTATCGCTTCTGAAAATCGCGCCAAATTGAGGATCACTAAAAGTTAGTTTCGCCAGTGAATCGCTTGCTTGTTTATAAGTAACCAGTTGAACAGGGAATGCGATCAGAGTCTTGGTAGAGCATGGGCGCATGACTGCAACCACTAGCGCCTGTGGGTTTTGGTTAAGCTATAGCCAAAACGTCGATACATGCACTTCGTCAGCTGCAGCCGACAAGCAGATAGTTATAAATTCATCAATTGTTGATTTGCTCTGGTGTGACAATAGAGCCTGCGCCCCAGCTTCCTTTACAGACAATACACCTTGGACCAGAATTAAAGTCGCTGAAGTAGTTGACCTTTGGTTTAGTATTGAATTTTTACGTTTAAGCAGCTTCTCTCTTGACCTTTGCTCATTTACTAGGCTCAAATAGTAAACTAGATTCTGCGAGCACGGCTGCAGGTGAATCCAAATTTCCATTCCTATATCATTACCGCTATCGCCATTCTACCTCAACTGAGTACGTACCTAACCAAGTAGGACTGTGATACGACCAGTGTAGAACCAAAGTAGCATACGTTTAAGTGCAGCTAACTGACTTTTTATACAGACACGTGAATGCGCTGAGTTTGATCCTATTTGTTGCATTCAGAACACTAGCTATCAAACAGAGAATGGTCCCACTGGTACCAGTTCTGTTCAACTGTCGCTCGCCGAATTCCGTACTACCTTGGATTTCTTTCCGGCGATGTTCATTATTCAGTTGCAAGTTTAGTCTAGACGCGCAGAGTGGGGAAAATAGTTATCTACTCACAAGTACTGGCGGTATCGAAACTGGATTTTTAAAATGGATAGGCTGGTTGGAGGTAATCGGAAAGCACTCAAACCATACAAATGGGAAATGCGAGGTGCCTATTTCCGATCGCTAGAGATTCCGATGTGCATCCAAAAACTAGACGAGTTTCAGAGTCAGTTGTTTGCTAAACAGAGATGAGCTGATAGCTAAAAATAAAATGCATCGACTAGATATTTTCGCATGAGCACTAGTATTTACTTCCTATATCCTAAAGCAAGCCCTTAAAAGTGCTTATTAGTGTCGACAGGAACTTGTAAAATGAATATGCTAAACGCTTTTAGTTCCGCAAACATTCCAAGAAAATTTAACAGTTAAATATGAAGATAAGGAGCTGGAACTACGTTGGCAGTTAACTTTTTCTACTTTTGGTGGTGATATATATATATATATATATTTATTTATTCACAGTCTGTTAACAGACATTGTGCCATCAGAACCATGGCAGAAGAAAAAAGGTGAGGTAGATGGGAACACTAATGCGATTAAAAAATATGGGAAACGATTATTTTGGTTTTACACACGCCATTTTGTATTCTTTTTTTTGTTTTGTGTTTTTGTGTGTATCAAAGAGATGGTGAAATTGCAAAACAACACTGACGCCACTGATGTCTGTTGCGTGCCATGACCTCTAGTGTTTCCAGCCACTGCAATTCAGCATCTCGTGGTCCCCAACCTGGAAGGCGGACTGGTCCGACTGCCGCCAAACTTGAGGTTGCCTTCTTCATACTCCTTCTCCATGTCATCGGCTGTCCACCGCGGCACTTTTTCCAATCGCTCCCTTGGAGTGCAAATAGCGCTCGACGTGGAAGGCGATGGGCAGGCATGCGCAGAACATGCCCGAGCCAATGCATGCGATGTCGGAGAAAATCGTCCTGAAGACTGGCACTATTCGCCCCAAGCACGCGGTCTCTCACGTCTGCGTTGCTTATGTGGTGTTGCCACCACACCCTAGCAATCCTTCTTAGACAGCGATTATCAATGACTGATAGCCGCTTCATATCTTTCGAGCGAACAGGCCAAGTCTCACAGCCGTACAAGAGTACTGCACAGACGGAAGCATTGTACACCCTGCCCTTGGGCTTGAGACTAACATCACGACGACGCCATAGATGTCTCAGTCTGATGAACGCAAGGCCGGCCTTTACAATCCGTTGTGCGATTTCATCTCCAACACCGCCACCAGCCGTGATGCAATTCCCTAGAAAAGTAAAGCAGGGGACTTGCTCCAGAACATGTCCAACAATAGTGAACGCGCGCGCAGGCACCTGCCAGTCCTGGAGCAACGTTTTACATTTTCCCGGAGTGAAGCTTAGGCCGTAATTAGACGCCTCCATCGCCAAGCGGTCCAAAGCGCTCTGGACGGATTGTGGGTCGTCCCCCAGCAAGGCGATATCATCGGCATAGTCCAAGTCAGTGAGTGTGTTTCCAGGGAGAAGCTCAACACCGCAGTCCTGGACACCTTCCAGTGCTCTTTGGAGAACATCTTCGATGGCGATATTGAAGAGGAAAGGTGAAATAGGGCAACCTTGGCGAACACCGCTGGTCACAGCAAATGAAGAGGAGTGTGTGCCGTAAGCCCTAAATTTGCCCTACGTGTGACTGTAAAGTACTTTCAGGATAGTTGCATACTTGTCGGACACACCTTTCTTCCGTAAACAGTTCCACAATGCAGATCTATCTACTGAATCAAAAGCCTCTCGGATGTCCAAAAACACTACGATTGTTGGCCGCCGGTGGATGTGACGAAGTTCGAGAACTTGCCGAAGCGTGAAGATTTGGTCGACGCAGCCGCGACCTGGACGAAATCCGGCTTGTTCTTCTCGGGAAAACTCCTCTCTAGTCGTTGAAAGCCTGCTAAGTAGGACCGACACGAAGAGTTTGGATGTGACGGAGATTAGGGAGATTCCGCGGTAGTTGCAGCAATCGGCGCGGGAACCCTTCTTGTGAATCGGAACAATGACCGATTCACCCCATAAGCTCGGAACCTTCTCCTCAGTCCAAACTTTCGTGAACAGCGATAGGATTTCGCTAACAAGTAAACTCCCACCATCTTTGAATAGAGCCGGTGGTAGGTTGTCGGGACCCGCTGCCTTGTGGCGTTTTAAAGATTGGATCACATTTCGAATTTCTGCTTCATTTGGGGGTGCTGTGGAGA